TGAATAAGAGCAGCAGTGGCTTGTACAGATGCCAGACCCTGGACTTGGATGATATGAGACAGCTGGAGAAGGATGTGGAGCTCGTTGTGAACTGTAAGGCAGGGGGATGGGACCCTGCGTGCCTTGTGGTGGGGGCCCGGTCCCTCCTGCTCACCCTGCCCTGGTCTTCATCCCTCTCCTAGACATTGAAGGGGTCCATGTGAAGATGGAGCCATCCTCACCCCTTCGGGAAGGGGACAGTGTGAGGCTGAGCTGTGACGCCCACAGCCCCGTGGCCCTGGACTACCAGTGGAGGGACGAGAAGGTGAGCCAGCATTCGAGTGTTGTCACGCTCGGGGTCAGCAAGCCTGGGCTTTGCAGCAAACTAGGCAGAGCCAGGAGCTTGCTGCATCTCTCCTGAGAGGGGCCAGGGGCAGGATTCCCCCTCGCACGGACCTGCGCTGTCCATCGCTACCCCTTGACCTTCTGGCCAGTACTGCAGAGGGCTCGCTCGCTGTGTGTAGGAGGGAGGGCCGGGCCCCTCTGGGACAGCCGCGGAGCCTGGGGTGCTGGGTGCAGAAGGGTCTGGTGCTCAGGACTCATTGCTGGGGGGCATCCCTTCCCAACAGGGCAGGAAGGTTGCGGAAGGGAACCAACTCTTTCTGAGCAACCTCACCTTCGAAACCTCCAGCAACTTCAGCTGCAAGGTGATCGCACCAAGCGTGCCGGGGCTGGAGCAGAGCAAGCAGGTGGCTGTGGCTGTTCAGGGTAAGAACCGACGCGTGTGTGGGCACGTCACCCTGCCAGAGGGAGCCTCGACCGCCCCGCGTAAGCCCTGCTCCCCCCGAGAGCCGTGGGCGCTTGACGTGCCCTCCCCACAGGGAAGCCGCGGATCGTTGCTATCAGCTCCCCGATGTATGTGCGGCAAGACGAGGTGGTGAACCTGACCTGCAAGGCCATCGCTTTCCCCAGGCCCTCCGTCCATTGGAATGTCAACGGGACGGTGAGAGCTGGGGAGGGTGCTGGGGCCAGGCCGTGGCCTCTCAGAGGGGCCGCGCATTGCCTCGGGCACTGACTCCTTGGCCGCCTCCGCCCCCTCGCAGGCTCACGAGTACATTGAAAATCAGCACATCGCCAGCAACCTGACAGTGCGTGTGAACCACGACCTGCTGCGGGCCGGAGCCATGTGCAGGGTCTCCAACGCGCTGGGTGTCAGCGAGAAGCACATCCAGCTGCTCGGTGAGTCTCAGGCGCTGCCCGCTGCCCTCTGCCCCGGGAACCCAGAGAAGGATGAGTCCCCCTCACACAGGCGCTCGTGCGTGCCGTGCTGCCGCGGCGCGGCTGAGCTC